TCTCAGGTACTCCTTACCCTCGGGACCTGCCTGGTGCCATCCCACCCCCCATGTCAGCAGCACACCAGCTGCAGGCCATGCACGCGCAGTCGGCAGAGCTGCAGAGACTGGCCATGGAGCAGCAGTGGCTGCACGGSCACCCTCACATGCACGGCGGCCACCTACCCAGTCAGGAAGATTATTACAGGTGAGAGCCAATGAAGGCTATTTGGAATCCTGGGAATTCATTATATTTCTCCCCATTCTTTCCTTTTTCCTCTGAATTTTCACCTTTCTCAGTGTGCAGAGCCCTGATGTGGTTACAGATGAGGCTCTGTTGAGACCTGATTTGGGCAGGAGGGGAGCAAAGTCCAAATTACTGACACAAGATGGGAGTAGCTGATMCTGCAGAGTCCCTTTAGATTGGGGKTTTTATTGGGATACTTGCTGCAATTCCACATCTCCTTTTCTTCCTTGAGAACAGTGGAGGAGGGTGGGCAAAGCTTCATGGAGAATGGGAGGAATTGAGTAAATCCTAAGGAAGGTGAAGTGTGTGAGTAGCAGATCTTGCATTGCTGGCTGAGAATGCCTGGAGCAATCATGGAGCTGTTTCACCCTGAATGCTCTGTGCTGCTGTTACTGGGGGTTCTCTGGCCTGCCTGTGTGACACCAGCGTGGTTCCAGTTTGGCAGGGACTGGCACTGGTGGCACTGGTGGCCCTGCTCACAGGTGGGGTGCCAGTGCCAGGCCAGGGCTGTGCCCCCAGCCTGCAGCCCCTGTTCCCTGCAGAAAAAGGCAGAGCTGTCTCTGAAGTGTCTGACACCTCCTTTGTTGTGGTAAAATGAGTTTTCTTTCTCTTGCAGTCGACTGAAAAAAGAAGGCGACAAACAGTTGTAATAAATTATTTATTTGTAACGCTGGCTATGGAAACCCCAGTCCTTGGGAAGGAGTGGAACATTTTTACATACAAGAAGAGCTACAAGARGAAAAGAATATCTTATAAAGATTTCTTTATATATTTAAAACAGAAGCAACCACCCAACAAGTAGAGACTTATCAGCATAGTGTTCATTTGTAGAGAAGATTTTTCAAGACTGGTGTGGGTCTCCCTGCATGAAAACATATTCAGAAGCCTATTGGAAGTACAGGACTGTGTGGAATATTCAGAGAACTTCCTGCAATCTTGTTTTTTTTTGGTTTTTTTCCTTCTTTTCTTTTCTTACTAGTTTGTTTTCAGTAGGTGCTAGAATCAGGTTCACAACACAAGTTCACTGTGCGTGAAGGGACACTCAATGCATCTATAGGTCTTTAAAAAAAAAAAAACAAGGATTGCAAGTAGGTGACATAACAAGCTCTGAATCCAAGTGCTATAATAATAAAAAAATCTACTTTTATTTTAATACATTGTAGGAAATCTTCATAATTTTAAAGAGAGCTCAGTTCTGCAGCATGGCTTTTTAAGTCTGTAAATAACTTTTTTTGGGTAGAGGGGAGAAACAAAACAAAACAAACTCCAGAAACATTTATCTTGATTTTCAGTAACATCACAAATTGTGAATTCCTACCTGGTATTGACARAATACAGAGTTGATTTTTTAATAAAATATATATATATAATTATCCCTTTAATTAAAGGGAATGATGGGTATCAATAATTTCAAATGGGTAAAAGCTTGAAATTTGGTTTGATATCAACAATAAGCATTAAAGGGATTTGCAGGGATAATGTTGCAAATGACTGTTTCTGTTCTTGGTTTTTCGGTTGGTTTGGTTGTTTGGGGGTTTTTTGTTGGTGTTCCATCTCTCTGTTCTGCAGCTGATTTTGTTGAGTTGGGTTTCTCAGCAGCACAGATGTCCCTTGGACCCCGCTGACCCTTTTGATGCCGCCTTCAACGGTTCATTTTCAGTGTGGCCATAAAACACTTCTTTTCCTGTGACCTTTTGAAACTTAATCTAACTACATTGGGTTTAGACTTTGGGCAGAAAGTTCAGAGAAATAATTTGTTGTAAAAATCTCTTTTTGAAGATGTTGAGTGGCTCAGACTAGTGCAGCCAGGATTTTGTATGCACGTGCATACTTTTGGAGGATGTGCTTTTTCTGGCCTCCTGTTTGATAAGTTCTTAAGAAAAGTGGACTTGGCAACTCGATGTTCTTAAAGTTGTGTTGCAAAGACCAGTCTGATTTTCTCTTTGACTGTTTGAGTTTGGGTTTTTTATAAGCAAAAGCTGTTTTAACTGCCACCAGTGTTGTGTATCTCAGGAACAGCCTGCTCTGGGATGAGCAGGATCCACGGACAGGAACATTTCCASCACCACAGTCCCTGCAGGGTCACTCCTGAGGATGGGGAGAGGAGAGCAATACCCAGTGAGCATTATTGGACACTGCTCTGCTTAACTAGGCAGATTTTAAAAAAATTTTCTCAGTTTTGCCACGTGGTTTCTTTGCCGGAGCAGAGGGTGATGCGACCAATGGACATCTGAATGTGCTGGTCATTTTTTCTGCTGGTGCACAACCTCCCCCATTCTCTCTCTCTCTCTCTCTCCACTCACCAGTGCTCTCTGCTGTTGTAGCCTGTTCAGTGTGATGGTTTTGTCCTAGGACTGTCCTGAGCCACGTCTGATAAAGTTGTAGTTAAATCAGCAGCAGGCACARTGCTCACCCTCCTCCTGCTGCTCAGCCCAGCYCGGGGCTCAGAGCGACAATTCACCRGTTCAAAATGTGTTCTGGGCCCAGTAAAGCAAGAGTAGAGAGGAGAGCAGGGATTTCTGCAGCTGATCTTCCCTTTTGGCTGCCCTGCACTGCAGATTCTCAGTGCTGGAGRCTGCAGTGGTGGTCAGTCAGTCCAGCTGCTGTTTTAACTCTGAGGTTGGATTTGTGAGCAGGGCAAACCATGACATCAGTCCAGAATGGAGGGAGGTGAATTCCTTCTCCATGGGCAGTGATGGGGTGGGAAGGTTTCCTGATGGGAACAGGGTTTATTTTACTCCCAGCTGAGCAGCCAGGAGGATGGGCCTGCTCAGCACAGAGTGCCTCAGTTGGCTTTAAAGCTCTCATTGGGCTCTTTAAAGCTCTCACTGGGCTCTTTAAAGCTCTCATTGGGCACATTTCAGTTCAGTCTCTCCCCTCCTCTTTTTTTACCATGTGGAATTGGGGAGTTTGGGGGAGTTCAGCCATTTCTTCTGACTCTTCTCTTGTTTTTTAGCCATARTTCTTAAGAAAAAGAAAAGTTTATTTCCTCCAGTGGTCCTCTCTGTATTCCTTATTTTTTTCAGCTGAAATTGCAGTCTGTTTAAAAGCTGTTCATTGATATATTGGGTTTTTTTTATTTTCTCATAATAGCATTATAATAATTTATGGGAGCTTTTGTTCACATAATTCAGCAAATAAGCACTGAAATTTTTCCATTTTAGCCCAATGATTAACTACAACTTTACCCGCCGTGGCTTTTGAAGCCATCTCGGTGTTCGATGCCCTGTTAAAAAAAAAAAACAAAAACAACCCAGACCTTTTGATTTTCTTTCAAGAAATCTCACTTAGTTTTCCTCCGTTCCGAAAGTTTCTTTTTGAATTTTGCTTTAGTGTTTTTGAAACGTCTCTCTTGTTCTATGTCGTCATGGTTGAGCTTGTTTCACTGCACCGTTAAAGCAGAGTGTACATTCTGACTGCTACATTTATATATATCTTGAAGCTTAATGTATATATGAGTAGTTTGCCATGGGATAACACAGTGTAAACAGAGTAGAAACCCAGAAATCGTGACTTCTGTGTTCTCTCCATTTGAGTATTTTGTAATTTTTTTGAAATATTTGTGGACATAAATAAAACCAAGCTACACTACAGCAGCCAGGTTTTGCCTGCAAGTGAAATGTGTCTCTTGATTGTTGTGARTGGGAAAAGAGTTGCTTTCATCTGGGGTTATGTGGGATGCTGGCATGGTTCAAACCTGTCTTTTCTTGGCTTTATTTTTTCYTTCTTTGAGATGATTTTGTTTTTAACACAATTCACAAACACCAACATCATGTCCAGTTGCAGTTGTGCATCAGTGAGGCTGAACATTACTGCTCAATGTTGAGTATAAAACACCACGTATACCCCAGCAGCTGCATTTTTGGGAGCTGTTTTTTGCTGAGGGTGCAGTGCCTGCTCATGAGGAACGGGTGCTGGTGATTGGGACATTTGGGCACCTCTGAAACCCCAAAACCTGGGGCTCCCTGTCCCTGAGCACTCCTCAATCCCATTTGAGTGCTCCTCAATCCCACTGTCCCGGCGGTGTCCCCGTGTCCCTCAGCTCCCCAGGCCAGCCCAAAGCCTCACCCTGGGGCTCTTTGTCCTCTGCCCGTGTTTTTGCACAAATTCTCATCCCTCTGCCATCCCTTTGCCAGCACCAAAATTTGGGGAGTTTCCCCTCCCTCGGGTGGCTCAGGAGTGCAGTTGGCAAAAAAGAGGTGGAAGGATTGGAGCGATGGGTCCTGTTCCTGTTCCTGTTCCTGTTCCTCTGGGTAAATATCAGACTTTGTTGTGTCTTTTCACTTTCTGAATGCTGTCACAATTCCATTTCACCATTTATTAGCTCTTTAAATGTTTTTCCGAGGTCCTTACCCGTGGCAATGTCACCAGGAAGGAACATTCCCTATGGAGGTGCTGTTTGTGAACATTCCTGTGTCTCACACTGGCTGAGACTCCTGAACCAGGGAATGTGTGTTCAGGAGAGAAATTACGGCATAAATTGATGGAAAACAGCTCGGTGTGATGTCAATGGAGTTGTATTTCGCTTTGCCTGGGGTCTTGGTTCTGCTGGAACAGACCATCAGTCAAATCTGGAGGATGGAAATTTCTCTGGCATTGCAGTTTGTTGGAATGAGCCCTAATTAGAAAGTCTGGGCAGTCACAAGGAATCTGCTATTCTTTGCCCTGGTAATGTGGTTGGGTATGTGCTTTCAGAATATCCTTGTGGTGTTTTTGTCCTTCCTCTACGTTGGATTTAGTGTCATCCAGCTGTCACTCCTATCCTGCTCTCGAGTTCATTCCTTCACAGTTTAATGCTTTTTATAGAGTGGCAGATCAAATGGGCATCAGCAGCAGTGTTTTAAGGAGTGCAGGAGGACACTCACACACCACCCTGTGTCCCTACAAAGCTCCAGTGGTTGATAATACTCAGGGTTTACTAAGACACTCTCTGACAATTAATATAAGCTGAGGAATATGATTGTCAATGTGTCCATTTTGAAATAAATGAATTCAGGACGATTGTAGAAACATTTTCTCCCTTTTCCTTCCATGTTATTTAAACCAAGCCCCTTGGCTTCACAGATTTCTTCTGGAGACAGTACCTGGGGCCAGAAACTGTTGGGAGRTGTTGTGACAGAAATGCCTTCATCTAAATGTAAATGTTGCTGTCGTGCCTCGGGCTGCCTTTAAGAGGCTTTTTCTGTGGGAAGCGGCTACAAAGTAATGGTCCCAATCAAATTTATTCATGTCAATAAAAGGTCTTTTATATGCTTATTTGAAATGTATTGTTCTGGGCTGATAGAACCCTTTTTATCAGCAGTCTCACAACCACCAGAGCAGCGTTCCTGCAAACCACCCGGTGGATTTTCACCCGTGCCAGACCCAGCTCTGGGTCCTGCACAACAGACTCTCCGTGTCTGGCGGGGCCTCCAGGGCTTGTCTGGCTCATTTTTATTTACAAGGCTGCAAATAAATAAACACGAACTGTTGGCTGAGGGCCCTGGCGTGCRTTYCTGRGCCCAGCTGGACYGCGGGCRCTTGGCAAAGCTGAGCTTAGGATGSCTCTGGCTTAGGAGAGCTGGGCCTGGGCAGGGAACACCCCTGGCACCTTGGAGAAGGAGAGGGAGTGACAGGAGAGAGACATCGTCCCGAGGGATGGGACGGGATCGGGGTGGTGTCAGTGGGGTCAGACTGGTGTCAGTGGGGTCAGACTGGTGTCAATGGGATCGGGGTGGTGTCAGTGGGCTCAGACTGGTGTCGGTGGGGTCAGATTGGTGTCAGTGGGATCGGGGTGGTGTCAGTGGGGTCAGGGTGGGGTCAGTGGGATCGGGATGGTGTCAGTGGGGTCGGGATGGTGTCAGTGGGGTCAGGGTGGGGTCAGTGGGCTCGGATTGGTGTCAGTGGCTCTGCAGCTCTCGGGGGATCTCAGGGGTTCCTACAGCAGCAGATTCCTGTCTATGGCTGGCCCAGGGCCGGACACACGGCCAGCTCTGTCCTCTGGGCACTGACCGCGGGCACTCACCGTGGGCAGCTGCCGGTCCCTCTCCCTCTCCAGGGTGCCCGTTGCTGTCCCTGTGCCCCGCCAGGCTCCGGTGCCGTTTCAGGATTTTCCACGGGATGGCAGCAAAATCTCGGGAAAAGGAGTTCAACCCTCCGCATTTATTTCCCGGAACAGGAGAGAGCCGAGACCCCACAAACGGGAAATGTGGGCATCCTCAGAGCGGGGGACAGAGCCCGGTGGGATCGGGAACAGAGCCCGGTGGGATCGGGACAGAACCCGGTGGGATCGGGGAACAGAGCCCGGTGGGATCGGGACAGAACCCGGTGGGATCGGGGAACAGAGCCCGGTGGGATCGGGGAACAGAGCCCGGTGGGATCGGGAACAGCCCGGTGGGATCGGGAACAGAGCCCGGTGGGATCGGGAACAGCCCGGTGGGATCGGGGACAGAGCCCGGTGGGATCGGGAACAGCCCGGTGGGATCGGGAACAGCCCGGTGGGATCGGGACAGAGCCCGGTGGGATCGGGGGACAGAGCCCGGTGGGATCGGGACAGAGCCCGGTGGGATCGGGGGACAGCCCGGTGGGATCGGGAACAGCGCCCGGTGGGATCGGGGACAGAGCCCGGTGGGATCGGGACAGAGCCCGGTGGGATCGGGGACAGAGCCCGGTGGGATCGGGGACAGAGCCCGGTGGGATCGGGACAGAGCCCGGTGGGATCGGGGAACAGAGCCCGGTGGGATCGGGGACAGAGCCCGGTGGGATCGGGGGACAGAGCCCGGTGGGATCGGGGAGAGTTCGGTGGGATCGGGAACAGAACCCGGTGGGATCGGGAACAGAGCCCGGTGGGATCGAGGACAGCTCAGTGGGATCGGGGACAGCTCAGTGGGATCGGGAACAGCCCGGTGGGATCGGGGGATGGGGACAGAACCCGGTGGGATCGGGGACAGCTCAGTGGGATCGGGGACAGCTCAGTGGGATCGGTGCCGCTGTTCTCCCACAGCTCCGCGGGGTTGGGGCTCTCCTGGAGTTTCTTTCGCTTTGCAAATACAACTTTATGCCAAAACTCCCCAGCTGCTCCCTCCTCTCCACACACAACCACGGCTGGGCTCATTAGCCATTCTGCTGCCCAATTAGGCTGSGAGCTAATTGCTCATTAATGAGGCCGTACCTGCTGAGGCAGCTGGGCTGCCCTGGAACCCGCGGCGGACACCGGGGAGAAGTGAGCGGGGTTTGAAACCAAGGAAATGGAAATGGGAATGGAAATAATGGGAATGGAAATGGGAATAATGGAAATGGGAATGGGAATAATGGGAATGGGAATGGGAATGGAAATGGGAATGGAAATGGAAACGGGAATGGAAATGGAAATAATGGAAATGGGAATGGGAATGGAAATGGAAGTGGAAATGGAAACGGGAACGGAAATGGAAATAATGGAAATGGGAATGGAAAAGGGAATGGGAATGGGAATGGAAAAGGGAATGGAAATGGAAATGGAAATGGGAATGGGAATGGAAAAGGGAATGGGAATGGAAATGGGAATGGGAGTGGAAATGGAAATGGGAACGGAAATGGAAATAATGGAAATAATGGAAATGGGAAATGGGAATGGGAATGGGAATGGAAATGGAAATGGAAATGGAAAAGCTGGTCTGCCGCTGCGGAAGGGTTTGGTGCTGCCGGGGGATAGTCTTTGTCTATCTGGTTTTACTTTATTCTATTTCCAGTCCTAGAAGCAAGGCAGGGATTAGGAAAGGAGCAGGCGGTTATTTTTTTTTTAGATGTTTCTGGTCCCAAGCCAGCGAGCTGGGAAGGCAGGGGATGTGTGGGGGAAGCTGGGCTTTGCTAAGTCTAAAATCCCCTCCTGTTTCTGTAGGCACRGATGCAAACCCCAGACCGCAGGTGGGTTTGGTTTTGACCTCGTGGAAGGAAAACACGAGCTCTGAGCTGCTGCCAAAGCCGAGCCTAGCCGCCTGWGCTCCCGCCTAACTCCCAGCTCTGCTCCTGCTGGCAGCACAAGGAGCTGTAAGCCGAGCTCTGTCCTTCCCAGATGGGATTTAAGCTCTGCCTGCAGCAGCTCGGGTGCTCCCAAAGCTCTGCTCTGCAATCACAGCTTCCTCTGTCATTCATTGTGCAAACCTTCCCTGGAACGGGCTCGGAAAGCTCAGCTCAGGCTCTCCAGCCCAGTTAAGAGCAGGATTTTCCCCGGGCAGGGAGCGGAGCTGCTGCTTTGTTGGAAGGCAGAAGAGCCAGATGGTGACAGGGAAAGGGAGGGGAGAGAAGGGGAATTTGTGAATTCCCGGTTCCATTTGGGGCCCTGCTGCCATCAGAGTGCCCTGACAGGGGCTGTGACAGCAGCAAAGGCTGAGAAATGAGGGAGAAAAAAAAATGGGAAATGAGGGAAATGAGGAAAAGGCACAGAGAGCGTGTGCTGGGATGGAAATGGATCCATCCTCCATCTCATCCCAATAAAACCTGGGTGGGTTTGAGCAGAGCTTTCCTGCTGCTCTCGGGTGGACACAGCAGAGTTTAAGGCAAGAATTGGACTCTTCCCAAATCCTGCATCTCCTGGAAAAGCTTTCACCAGAACTGCTACACCAGGCAAATGTTGGCTGGCT